ATATATATATATATATATATATATATATATAAAAGTTATTCTCTATTTCTTTTATAATAAATCTTTAAACAAAATACAGCTTTCCAATTAGAAAGTGAAAATAGAAATAGCCCGGTGCTACTTGTTTCGTTTGCAAATTTTTTCAAGAGGTAGTAGTGCAGTTTTTCTGAAATTGTGAGTCCTTCGTGGAGTCTCTTGATCTCTAACTGTATTATTTAGGCTTTCGTGACCATCGATTGATATTAATTGCAATTTTTTTCCTATTAATTTTGCCAAATTTATCACCGAAAATTTGAAATTATGCATTTTACTATTCAACTTTTAAAATGTTGGACTTCTTATTACTTTGTTAAATGTTGATGTGTTATATGGATAGTTGATATAACATAATTATCAAATTAAAATTTAACATAACAAATCAATAATTAACTAATTACATTAGTTGTTAAAAAAAATTAATAGTGTTAGACAATCAATTATTAATGAGGTGACAAAATGTGAAAAATTAAGTTGTTTACATAAGCACACAAATGGATGTTTTAAAATTAAAGGGACTTAATTTAGAATTTGGTAAAATTCAAGTACTCCCTATTAACTATTTTTTTCATCATGTAATATCTCAAAACTAAAAATATAAGGTCAATCTACACTCATTAAACGTGATATTCACTAGTCAAACATTATTTTAACATAGCAAGACTAACTAATTTAACATGTTCCTTATTTTCCCATACAAAATAGCTTAAATTTAATTAATTTTAAATTTTGAATTGATTTTTTAATTTTAATACATTTTATTTATTAATAATAAGCACAAAGTCATAATTTAAATAAGTTATTTTATGATTTTATTTTCAATTTTAAAAGTTATGTCTTTGATTTATTCCTATTTAGTAAAATAAAATATTTATTATTAATCATAAATACATTTTGATATTTTTTTCTTAAAATATGTATTATGTCATTATATAATAATAATAATAATAATAAATTTATTTATATTATTTTATTTAAGTTTGTAAATACTTGTAAAATAAGTCAATAACAAAATAAAAAATTGAAATCATGTAATGCTATAATAATATTTGATCAATAAAAAAATGTCAGATTAATTTTTAATTTTCATATTTATATTAAAAAAAATGGCATCGTACTAACCCCTTATGAAAAGCATTTCGACCGTCCTCTAAAATAAAATTGTAGACTTTAATTAGATTATTAATAATTGTGACTTTGACTGTGACTATGTAAAATATTATCATTGTATACATATCTTATGATTGTTAATTCTACGCATCGTTGGTAATCACGTTATTAGTTATTGACGTCGAGTCTCTTTAGAAATTATATTTTATAGTTTTAATTTTCATTTCTGTTTTCTTATTATAACAATATATGGAAATTGGCATATTCAATGGGAACGATCAAACTTAATTTAAAATTCAGCATCTAAAATAAAAACTTAATCTACAATTGTTTTACTATGTAGTCGGTAATCATATCATTTTTTTAGTGACAAGTTAAAATCTTGTTAAAACAAATTAATATAAAATTTAGTCTTAGTATTCTCAAATTGTGATCCATGTAAACCTTTTGCTTTTCTGTTTTAGGCTTTACATTTTTTTTTTTTATACTTTTTTTAAATTTATCGATTAATCTGATGACGAAAATGAAAATATAAAAAATTACGAGGGCAAAATTATAAAAGCAAAAATAAAACCCCTATTTAACAATAAAAAAAATTATTTAAGCCAACTCCAACACATAGTACTTTCTAAGAAGACTTGAGGTGCCAGTGGTAACTCTAGCATCAAAGAAGACTTGAGGTGAACAACTAATGATGTTGTAAGGTGATTACTAATAATGTTTAAAATGAAAAACATTTTTTGGATTTTTCTAAATGCTAAATAGTGCTGGTTGCTTTATGCTTCCATTGTTTTTGACAAACACTTGCAGTGGAATAAGGATCACTTATGACTGCAACCTTTGCTTTGTTAGGTGGTGGAGAAATTTCCACATATTTGAGGTTACAAAGCTTTCAAACTGCCACCCACTTTGGATGTTAAACCTCTTCTTAAATCCCAGTTAGCGGTTGTTATTTATGATTGTGAGTCCTCTTTTTTCTGCAATATCACATGAACTAGAACTATACATTCGATTTATAGAGTAGCACATACTTATGTTCAGCTTCTTTATTAGCATTTTAGCATAGCATAGTTGATTTAGGATCTAATCCTGCAGTATATTCATGTTATTGAAGGAAAATTGTCTACTAAAAGTATTTCCTTTTTCATTTTACACAGCTGATGAGAAATACAGGAATTGTTCTGGTTTGCTTTCCCTAGACCTTAAACCCTAAAGTACAAAAAGTGGGAACGCTGTTACTATGTTTATGGAGTATGTGTTTACCACCCTAGCACTTTGCAAGTTGAGAAATGCTATGCAAATGATCCATATGCTAGAGGGTATGCTCTATTCATGTCAATTTACCATCAATTATCTTTGGCAAATTATTTCTGTACTCTTGATTCTGGCATTCATGATTAACATTTAGCAATACATCTTTTAAATGATTAGAGATAAAATCTAATTTCCCTAATGATTTGTGTATTTTAACCCCTCTTTTGTTCTGTGTTTAAGCAGACTTTCATCAGATGGAAGGCGGACTTTTCTGCTTAATCTTGACACTGAGGACTTAAAATCTGATGGATGGGATAATCTGGCTGATGAGAAACCTGTTATACATTCTTTCTCTGGTATAAGCATATATGAAATGCATCTAAGGTAGTGTTTGTTTCCAGGGATTTACTATTCACGAGCAAGGAAAGACGAAGAAAATTGTTGTTTGTTTCTGGTAATTTGCAACGACGGAAAGGCGAAAAAAAGGTGAGAGAAGCGTGGTTCGCGTCCTCGCACAAAAGCGAAGAAAGAAGAAGAAAGTCACGTAAGATTTGTGAAAACCCGGAAATGTCCCTGTCCCATGCATGCATAATCAATTATACGAAAGAAGCATAATCGATTATGGTTGGCCACATAATCGATTATGGCCTTGCATAATCGATTTTGGAACGGGCCGTTTCATAGATGGACGTTGTGGGTTAATTTGTAACCCTAGAACGGCCCGTTCTGGGTATCAAATTTTGTTTAATTAATATATTTTGTTATTATTATTTATTATTATAAATATTATTATTTTTATTTTTATTAATATTATTATTATTTATTATAATTAGTATCATTATTATTTATTATGATTCTTATTATTTTTCTAATATTTATTATTATTCTTATCATTATTTATTATTTTTTTAATAAATTATACCTATTAATATAATTTTATTGTAATTATTATTATTTACAATAAATAATATTATACTCATTTTTAATCCAACGATAAAAGTGTAAATTATATATTCATCTATTAAATTTTTAATTTTTATCTATCATTAAATTTAAAGTAAATATTTAAATTAAATTATTTTTAAATTAATATTTTATAATTTTTTTTAGTTAAAATTTATATATTTATCTTTTAATTATAATAATTAAAAACCTTTTTTTAATCAAAGGGCAAAATAGTAATCTTACATAATTATCAATTAAAAAACTTATTTTTATCTATCACATCAATCAATTCACTCACAAACTTTCTCTTCACTTTCCACTCATTTTCCCTTAATCCAAACAACCTCACTTTTCACCCACTTTCCCTTCAAATCCCTCCTTTTCCACTCCCCATTTTCCATCCTCAAATCCAAACAAAGCCTAAGGGATTTCAAGTAACTGTTTACTGATGTCTTTAATTTTAATTCAAGGATCAGTTTTGTCTTTTATTTTTAGAAGTTTATAATAATGGATGTTTTTTATAATCCAGAAATTCAGATGATCTAGGTGAAATTACGAGTATACCTTGAGCCTTCAAATTAAAATTAAAATATGTTTTATACGTTCTTGTATGTGAAATAGATTTTTCAGAGTGCTCTCCTCTCCTTATGTGATTTGATAATTGCTTTGAAACTTATAATTCTGCTTTTGAGCACAAATGCCCAAAATATTATTCTAGAATACACCTAATTGCTGATACGACTACTCGTGATTTTGATGTTTGGTTCCATAGAAAGAGGAAAAAATAATTACAGTTAAGGCTTGCCCGGTCCTTAATTGCTGACAGGGACTCATTCCAACATGTTAGCATGACCAACAATCAGGTATCTTTACAATATTTACTAATACTATACTAAAAAGTATGTGCTTTGACTGCAAGGTGCTTACAGTAGAATTCATGTCATAATCATCACTACAATATGTAGAAGAGAATGAGAGACTCAGAGCTATTTTAGGAGAATGGAGCACCCGAGCTGCCAAGTTATTATTCAATAATAGTAATATATGCGAACAGCTACCAATCTACCATGTGTTAAAATATACTTGGGTTGGATTTTGCCGTATAAGTATGTTCTGCTGAAACCTTTTATCATGATATGATTAAAGCTTGAACGAGCACTGGAGGTTGAGAAGATGACAACGTTTGAATTACAAAGGAAGCTTTCAACGCTAAGAAGTCAATCGAATACCTCAGCAGAAGCAACTGAACATGGAGCTTAATTCACTAGTAGGGGCAGTCCCAGTTCATGTCGAGCATTTAACCTTGTTCTCACCATTTTAAAGAACACGTAGACGTGTCTACGGTACCTTCACTGTTGTAGAGAGATCCATTGTACATATTAGTTCAAAAAATGTGGTTTCATTTTTGTTTGGTAAGAGAAATACATGATGTAATTTAATTGAGTTATCGTGCACTATTGTGCTCAATGTTTGTATCTGGCCTAAAGATAAAAGTAGGTTACTTGAGCGAAGTAATATACAATTTAACTTGTTTCATAAATCAAAAAACTTATTCAAACTTAGTAATGGTTAATGACTTGATGGGAGCGATTCCGTAATGAGAATGGTCATTGCTGCATAATTGAAATACTCAAAATTGTTTACTTTTACCATCGTTAAACAAGGAAAATTATGGCACGTGCGGTATTACAAAACCACTTGGTCTATGACTATGACAAAAGGGCATCATACAAACACTTAACAATAGCCCATGCGCCTAAAACTAAAATTTTCAATTCTTTTATGATATGATTACAATGGGCTAACCTGTGAAATTTCATTCAAAAAGAGACACCTAAACACATTATTGAAGAAATCACAACCTTTGGCGACGCCTCCCTCTCCGACCACAATATCCATGTCATACTTGCAAGCTCTTGTACAATCCGGGCAATAAGTCACCTGCATCAAAGGAAATACATGCATGTTACATATAATATCGTAATTCACATAGGAAATACATTCTAAACAAATAATTCAATATATAAGTGTGACATTAGAGCCTGGAGCATCCTAAATTCGGAAGTGTTTAGGTTAAATTTTAAACTATGGTATTGAAAGTAGCATCGGAA